TCATGGTATCTTGTCTGCACACAGTGTGGCCAGTGATCAACTGGTCAGTAGAGGGTGGAAGTGAAGGAGGCAACTCATGCATGCAATCATCCTCGCCATTCCACCCTACCCGTGTAATCAGCTTGCATGTCTCACCTCATTTCCTGCATTCATCGCTCCTGCCTTTACAGCCATGGTGTAGGTGGGTGGAAGGAACGAGGAGGAGACGATTGCTGAACGAGGATGATGCAATGGATGAACGCAATTGTAGCCAGTGATAGCTGTCTGCAACTCTTGCAAGTGAATAGATGATTGGGTGGATTGCAGCTGATTAATGTAGAAAGTGGTTTAGAAGTGGAGAAGTGGTGGATGGAAAATAGGCAGAAATGGAATGGCTGGATGGCCACACTAGTGTACAGTGGTGAAGTGCAGGTTCCAAACCGAACGAATAAGGAAGAGTGGGCGGATGTGTTCAGTCGCACCTTTTGTTGTTATCAGAAAACCCGACACTCAGTGTCTGTACAACCCACTGAAAATCAAATGAATGTTCCTTTTGCACGAAAGTGGAAATGCACATTATTCCCACCTTGCTTCAGACACACCATTCCCCCCTTATAATGGACCAGAGTTCTGAAATAGCTGTGATGTCTGCGAGCATTCATGGCAGTGGTAGTTGATTCCATCTAACCGACCACGATCTGCGTAATCTGGTGTGCCAGTTCAACCCACTCCATGCACTTTAGTGCCATCAGTCAGTCAATTATTGTCTACACAGATTCCTTATGAAAGCAGCGATGAGGACCTAGATACCAGCACCAGAACTACTGATACCTGAATAGCGGTTGTGGCCACAGGGTGTGGGTTTCAGAATGACTTACCACGCTCTTGCGTGCATAACGTCATTTTGTACTGTCCGCCTGCTCCCCCTTCTCACCCCTCTTATCATCGGCATCCCACCATCGTAGAAAACGCACAACAGGCAAAAGTCACAATCGCTAATCATCGCCTCACTTCCCTTCTGTGTTGGTCGACAATGATTCTGCATCCATTTCTTAGCCTTCCTTACATAGGAAAGAAGGTTTACAATGCCTTGGTGCCCATACGGTAGGATATTGGGGGCAGGCCAGTGAGCGTCAGTCTGAATGCATGGTGATAAACACGCTTCGCTAAGTCATAGACACAAAGATACGCGCTCTTGAAATTGATGTCCTCAAACGGTTGTGGTTGCGAATCTCACACCATCCTTTGGGTTCATATTGATGCTGTTGTCACTCGTGCCCATCACGAACGATTAATTGATGCTATCACATCATCAAAGAACTCACTACACAAGAGACAGAATGGGTTGGCAAGAAATGCGAGGTCAATGCAGCCACAAGAGGCCCCACGAGTCACAAGCAAGGCCGAAATGAGAGGGAAAAGGAGCCGAGCTCTCGGTTGGATTCAAGAGGTGTGGTTCACGATGGCCATCCAAGTACATAATGTGGAGGGATTGCTTTTGCCATTTTCGTCTTCTCTGGTAAATTATGCATGTGCAGTGATGGGAGCCTCTAACAGGTGTGATAGACACTGGTTTTAGTTGGTGTCTCTCACAGACGAGGTGACTCCCTCGACACGTGTGAGCCAGTGCATCCGCCTGTTCGACTGCCATCGTAAGGTCGTGCAAGTGAAGTCGGCATGCATGATTCAAATGCTATCCGTAGCTGTGGCATCACAGCATGCAGTAGCCACCCAAATATACTATTTACAACCTCCGCCTCCATCGAAAGGCAGGAAAGATATCCTCATCTCATTTTCGCCTCCCCATGTTAGGACAACTGAATCTGCAAGCATGCTGTTGTCTTTGAAGCAGACATTTATGCAGAAGTGGTCTCCTGAAGGTGCCCGAACAGGCAGGTTATTTCCGCCTTGCCTCAACCACACCGTTCTCCCCTTATAATGGAACCATTTTCAGAATTGAGTGACAGGTCCACGAGGATTTCTACTAACAGTAGTTGTTTCCATCCTTCTGACCACATTCGAGATAATCTGATGAGCATTTCAACCTCCTTACCAAAATTATGGTGCAACCATTTCAATGATTGTTGTTGTTATCTATGAAGACTTCAGAAAGGAGGCATGAGACAAAGGCTGTCAGAGGGACACCAGGCTCGGCACCCACTTCGCTGTGGCAAAGTCTCACTTCGCCTGCATCATCTAGCTGGAATTAAGCATAGTGAACATGTAAATGAGTGCGTGATCAAGGGATGAGTGCATGATGTTGGACGATTAAATGGACATTGAGTGGATAAAGGAGTATGAGGAGGAGGAGGAGGAGGAGGTGGGGAGGAGGAGGAGGAGAAGAACGTACCGTTTGAGCAGCCAGGTGAGTAGTAAGCGTTTGCCGGGTAGTTTGGGAGAGATTTCATCTTCCTCGAGGGTGCTTTCACTTTCTTCTGCCTCAAGATACATGCATAAGTGGACTTGCTATCGTTTTGCGTCTAGTGGGAATACAAAAATAACCTTGTTTGCGTGCCAATGTGCAAGTGGAAATGGGAATATTAGCAAGTACCTTCCCCACCCTCATTATTCCAGGCGTTCTTCATTCGATTTGAACAACCTTGAATAGATGTTGGTGACACTTTGTGCATGAAACAAAATGCGCCTTCCCATGTGCATCTCAAAACGACAAGTCCCGCTTTCAGATGCAGAAGCTTGTGTAGATGTGGATCCTACTAATAGAAAAATAAGTAGCAGTAGCATTTCCAGTTTACTTGTATTTGTCGTGGTGGTCTTATTTATGATTCACTGAATGACTCCGCACCAACTAGGGATCCAATAATTTTGAGAAGATAAAACGACACACCTCCAAATCCATCCATACAATGTGGTGCGTGACAGTGACCCAAGTAGAGAAGGTGAGAGGAAGCCTTTTCCATTGTCTCCTTCCTCTGCTGCGGTAAAAGTGCACATCAGGTGTGGCTGTGTGGCTGTGGCTGTCAAAGCCTCCAAGTGAAGTATTGGGCAGTGGTTTGGGCAGGCCTTCCAAAAGCACACTCTCACAGTGGAGTTACCACGCATACCTCATGAGTGCCACCACAAGGCTGTGCGAGTCAATGCAGAATACGCACGTCAAAGCACATGGGTGGCTTTGGTGTAAGAGCTGGAGGACGCCACCCACACACGCTATTCGCAATTCTCATTTCTTCAGAAGAATGACAGAAATGGGGTTTTACTTACGTCTTCGGCACTGAGATGAGCATGTCTAATTTGGTATGTGTGCTGTTGTATGCAGAGGCTCAGACCACTCCTAGCTCACAAGTGGAAGAAGCAGACGTAGGGCAGTGGTCAGTCCAACATTGTACAAGCATCACTCACCTACTGTGGGCACGAATGCTTGTGAAGATGATGGATGCCATGACTTAAGTAGCTGTAAGTGGATGAGGTGGGCGGAAGAAGTGAGAAATAACGAAAGGAAAGGGACACGTTCTTTTTGTGGTCGTGCAGCACTGCAAAGTTGAATCCGTGGATTTGAGTGATGACTGCCTCTATGATAGACGGTGCATTGCGCTTGAAGGGGGAACTACTCTACACTGCATCACGATGATTTTGGTGTCTCCATTGACACGCAGGTCTTCATCCACCCTTACCATTCATACCACATTTGACAAGCATCACCACCCGTTGAGTCCACCCATTCATTCACCCATCTTCACTGCATTCTGCGTGAAGGTAGGCAGGAGAGAACACTGCACAAAATGTAATAGGATGTGCAAATGAGAGGGTGGGATACGATGGGTAGTGGAGAGAATCCAGGACCAGCACTTGGCAGTTCTTCCTCTCAATCCTCCGGATTGTGCTTGAAGGTGGGACAACTCGGGTCGGCGTCGTCATCACAAAGCGAATTAAACCTTACTTTTATCTCTCCTTTGACTGACAAATGACACGCAATCCACTGTTTAAGGCAGTGTTCTAAAGGCATAACGCAATCCGTGTCACGCTCGCCACGTGTTTCGTTCAGTCAGAAAAGGGGAATGTATGCTGCTTGGCTAATTGGCAGTGAAGAAGAGAGCTGAGCTGAGCCAACATGATGTGAGGTGAGGTGCGTTGAGACTATGCGGGAGCCTGTCACATGCATCAGGTTGCATCAGGTGGTGTTTCGGTGGTAGTTTCTCTTTGTGGTAAACGCAAACGTTGGTTCTCACCTGCCAACACACGCATGAAACTGTCTACGTCGACAAAGATTCAGTGTGTTAAGTGAGACGACGACGGAATTTGTTTGGGTCGTTTACACCCGTGCCATGTTCTCCCCGCACGACGATGTAGGGTTGCCTCCTGACAGTTTCCACATAATTGCTTTAGGCTTTGTTGGTATTTACCGATGTATACTTGGGATTGTGTTTGACCGAGAATCGTCACCCCATCTTCAGGGCTGTGATGCGCAATAAGATGAGTTAGGTTTGTGATGTTTATAACTTTCGGTAACCGTGCCACCGTCAATCGACGTTGCCTCTTCCAATTGCACTAGCAACTGCGACAGTGCAGAGGATTGACCTTGGGAGCAGTCGGCGTCGCATGGCGTCAGAAGACACGTCTCACGGTTGAAATGCTTTGAAGCAGAGAACGGGCGACGTGGGTGGAAAGCGATCACGCGGCACGTGTCTTGGTGTATCGTGTCGCGACTCGTCTTGGCATAGGAATTGTTTTGCCTGATTTGGAGATCAGAGAGGCTGCCACTTTGGTGTACCTTTGAGCTGGCGCGTGGTACGAAGCAGAGAATATGTGACAATAATAATGATTTTCTCATGCCATTTGTTCTACTTTGTTATTATGAGGCAAATTCATGGATGCTGCATGGTCATTGCAGAAGCAAGGTTAGTGATGAACCAGTTTTTGCGCACAGAATGAGTAGACCCGTTGGAGAGCTTATAGAATGCTGTGTACCATTAATGGCAAGCAATCAAATAGGAGGTATTTCGAATAGATGACTCTGCGTATTAAATAACCCTTCCACTTCTCCCCATTCGCTCATCAATCCATTTCATACCCACCTATCTCCATACCATTCCAAATAGCCACCCTCAATCCGTCCATACACTCAGCTGTTAACATTTCTATATGCCGCAACAATGCGTGTTACCTCACCTCCACCGAATCTGTCATTATTGCATGCAGTCGAAGACCAGACATGAAAGACAGTGATTGTGCTATCCAAGTCATGCGCTACTCGAGCAGTTAGAAATCTTCGCGTGGAAATAAAGCAACACGACACCACTACGATGTGGACACGGCCAAGGTGAGGCACGCAAATGCATTTATTGCATTTGTCCACTAAAAGACCCCAACTGTTCATTGACTTGTCGACACCACAAACGCTTGAGTAGTGTGTGGGTCTGCCAAATAAGGTGAAGTAAATGAGTGAGTGGAGGAGGGTAGGGGAGAGGGGAGTGCATGTATTTTAAAAGCAGTGGCTGCACGAATTAAAAAAAAACTGGGAGAGAGAGAGAGAGAGCTGGGAAATTAATGTCATTGGCAAGGGTAGGACGTATTAAAAGTAAAGGAAAATGAATTAGTAGAGAAGGAGGAGGAGAGAAAGAGTGCTGAAGAGAGAAATGGCAATGGAAGGGAAGAAGACGGACAATTTGGAGGTGGTCGGTGGTAGTTCCGTTGTTTCGGACTGCCCTCCAGTGGTTGCAGGTGCCTCTGCATTGGCCGATGATGATGACGA